CCTATATCGTAAGATATTATGTCTTATTAGAAACTAATATCTAACAATTGAGTAATTAGAATACTAATTAATTATTAGTAACTGATTAATGCAAATAATTGTTGAAAACTTCTTTAATGATAAACGGTAACTTACAATTACAAAATAATGCCAATTGATATATCAAATGACATTCTTTTGTAATTAATTAGAAATCAGTTTTACACAATGTGAGAATAAAGGTTTTGGTAGAAGGAAAAAATATAGGGCAAAAGAAGGTTGTTCATGAGAAAAATTTCTTTGAAACTCTTAATGTTGTGATAGTTATAAAGTAATTTTGTGGAAATAAAAAAGAAATGAAGGAAAAGAAAGGCAAAATTCGAAGTTTTTTTCTACTCAAAATCATAAGAATCATAGCAATTCTTATGTTAAGAAAGATGATTGGTATGTTTCGCTGAATTTTGTGATTATTAGTGTAGTTTTATTTCTTATTTATGTTGCCTGATGTATTGAATGTGATCTTTTTAGGCAGTGAAATGTGTGTGTTAATTGTTTTTATGTTTTATTTATGTTCATTTTTTTTACTATTATAACTTGTATATATATATATATATATATATATACAAGGGGTATTTATGAAATAAAAATTTCATCTCTCATTTTAAAGTACTTTTCTAACTTGGACTAATTTTATTACCAAAATCTTAATCTCATTGAAGGTTTGTGTAATTTTATAAACTTCAAGAGAGACCAGTGAAATTATCACAAAACCTCAAAGGAGGTTTTTGAAATTATTCCTTTTTATTATTCTGGTTTTTGCTAACCTTGCTTTTCGTGCATGCGAACCATTTGGGCACTAAGTAAAAGCAGTAATCTGTGGGCGTCTGCTGATTGATAATTGATAGGCACACCTAGTTTTTGAATAGAAAAATAAAGAAAACCATTTGGCGGCACCGGTGAGGCGGTGGCACCAAACAGCCAAACTGGGACAGCAATTGCACGCGGATTTCGGTGAATCCAACGGTCGAACGCACTCCAAAAATGAGGCAAATTTCATGATGGACTGGCATGGAGCACACGCAAATCAAGCTCAAGGAGACATTTGCGAGCTTACTCCATCAAAAATTTTTGAGGTTCAAAAACTTGTCAAATTTAATCAAATTTAATTGAGCATCAAATATATATATATATATATGTTTAAAACTTTTATATTTATTTGTGTATATGATATCATATTTTTTTATTTAAAGTTATATAAGATATTATTTTATATGTTGAAACTCGATTGATTTTGATTAAGTTGAATTCAATTCTATTAAATTAAATTCTATCAAGGTTGAATAAGATAAAACTAATTCAAGTCCAAATTCAAATTCAAATTTTAATAGTTTAAAAAATTTGAACTCAACTCAAACAAATTTACACCTTTATTGCTACCATTTTTCTCTGTTAATTCCTTTAGAAAAGAAAATAACCGTTAAGTTTATAAATATACTATGATTTTTTTTCTTGAATACTAAACAAATTTGGGAGGAAAGGAGAATCACCCCGTGTCGAGAAAATTATTGAAAACTACGGGAGGCTAACCCAGTCTTTTTAACCATTAACCATTAACCATATAGATAAAGAGGGAAAGGCCCCTGCCACGTAGGATGGTCGTCCGCCCATGTGGCACGTGGGGATTGGTCAGTGGTGATGATGTGGAGCTGATGTTGGACCGGTTTTTCTTCTCCTTTTTTGTCTCCTTTTTTGTTTTTTTTTTTTTTGCCCTTTGATCAACCAAACGACATCGTATGTGGATGAATCTCCAACCAATTTTTTCTCCGCTTTCTTTCTTTCTCTTTCATTCAAGAACAGGAGCATTTGTCAATGCCAACAACTCTTAAAGGCCGGTTCCTATTGCTATTATCCTCTGGACAAAATTCCCTCTTCTTTCTTTCTGTCTTTCATTCAAAACATAGCAACATCAATCAATGTCAAGAGCTCTTGAAGACCGGTTTCTGGACAAAACTCCATTTTTTCCATGAGACCCAGAGGTCTCCCCTTAATTTCTGGCATCTGATTGTACTTGGAAGAGATTGCAATCTTAATTGGAGGGTCTAGATTTTTTTCTTCTTCTGAGGAGTGGGTGCTTACGATTTGACGGACGATGGGCTCGAGACAGAAAATGGCTGGTAATCTTCTTCCCCTTCCACTCCCGGTTCTCCCTCTTGTTCTTCTTCATCTTCCTCCCTCCCTTGAGTAGTTAGGGCTAATTTTTTCTTTTTTTCTGAAAATTTTCCTAATATTTCTATTTTCTTGGCTAAAAGCAGCAAATCTTTTTTTCCCATCTCCTTCGTGTCCTTTTGTGAAACAATGAGGAAGGGGAAGGTCAATACTTCATCTCTACTATCTGGTGTGAATTTCTGGAATGCAGATATGGTACTTTTCTTCCCCTTTCTTTCCATGATTAATGTCTCCATTTCATTTCTGTTTTATCATTGATTTTTTATTTTTAATTAGAAGAAAAATTTTTAATATGGTCTGTGATGATGAATAATTGATGATTAGCTAGCTTTTAGATATTTATTTACTTGGTGTTTTGTTGTTCCATTTTTCGTTCTTGCCTTTCTTGGATTTTTTTGGAGCTAGGAGGAAAAATGGCCACCCGTGAAAAACAACTGGTAAGGAAAAATATAAGTTTTATTGTATCATTCTAATTTAATTTTTTCCCTTCCACTCCCAATTTAGGATTTGATGGACGATGTTTTTTTTTTCCTTTTTTTTTGTTTTTTTGGTGTTACTTTTCTGAGTATATTATTAGTTGTTGTTACAGGAAGGAATATGAAGACGTGAAGTTGACATCTCTAAGAAGTAGTTAAAGCGGGTAATATTTATTTGTGTTCTACTATTTATACTATAAACCATAGTTTTTTTCTATAAACAGTTTCTCTCACCTAATTTAGCCTATTTTTGTTTATTGAGGTTTTTGTCAGAGAAAGGATAAAGGTAAAAGTGATTGGAAGAATGAGCAGATTTCTTCCAGTGTTTTGCGTTTTGGGTTTTATTGTCTTTGTCAAAGTAAATTAGATATGAGTATCTTTTTCTTCTCTATCTTTTTTTGGTTTTGTGGTTTTAATGTGCAAAGTGAAATCATTATTATGACTAAATTTCTTGAAGATGTTTTCACCAGTTCATGATTCATGAGATACATAGTTATATGAATTAGGTAAATGAAGTTTCAAAAGCAAAATCCATGTTATCTACTATGAAGATACCGTCTTTGCTCTTTTAAATTATTAAAAAAACTTGGCTTGATCTTTAGCTGGAAAAAATATGTTCAGAAAATAGTGTCCCTGTGTTTCACAGTATTGACCTTTGATGTTGGACCCAATTTGGCATTTTTAGAAAAAAGAAAAATTGGAAAATAATGCATAGAAACTTCTCTAGAATTTACTTCCACATATATATTCAGTATTTTGTTCCCTTTGGGGAAATTTCATCAGTGACATTATTGTTATTGTTTTATTTTTGTTGGTAAGACTTGCTTTTATACTCTCTCAGTAGATTTCTTCTCTTGTTTCTGTTATTGCTATTTTTTTTATGAATTCTTCTTTCCTCTAAGCAACTTTAAAGGTTCTTTTCTCTATATAAATATGTTATTATTGGAGTACATCTAATCCTGATCCAATTTCTATAGCAGGAAATGACCATACTTTGGGTTTTGTTACCGGTAGATCTGCTCAATTGCATGGTGCTGCCTAGACAAGTGCTTCACCCTGCTCGTCAGCATCAATGATATTTCCGCCAGCCCTAGGCGTGCCTTCAAATGCTGAGTGGAATGGGTATCAGGTAGTTTGTTTCTGACATCACTTCTCTATTTTACGATGCATTTGTCTGCTTGATGGCATTTATTGTAAGATTCATGTGTTTAATGTCCATCTGATGTTCAAATTGTGGTGGTATCTGACAGATGGTGTTATCTTTGCTTGCTGAACACCGTATATGAATTTCATCTAATACATTAGATGTCACAGATGCATTTGAAAATCCGTCACTGTTTCCAATTTGTGCTTGTCAATGTGTAAGGTTTAACATATGGGGTAATAGTGTAGTGAACAAGTGCATTCTTAGTTATAATTGAGATGAAGAAACTAATTCTTATCTTTTTGTGCCGCGGCAGACTATCTTTTTACTCACCTTTACGGTGATGAAAATCTTCAGATGCTGTGTTTTTTTTTCAGGACTTTGAAGTTAATTGAAGTTAACAGTGATTGTTGTTCTCTATATCTCTTTTGAAAATTGACAGGAGGCTCTCATTCCCATACTGCATTCAAAGTCATCTTTAACTGCTTTGTTGTTCCTTTTTTTTATGGTATATATGCATAAGCGAGAAATAGTGCTTTTAAAGTGGATTTACTCCGGATGTATCATGATCTCCTTTAAAAAATGTTCCCATGGCATGAAAAGAGAAATCTATCATTAAATAAAAGGGGTTTGCCGACGGTTAGCTCTGCATGCGCTTCGGAGGCCAGGTCTTGTCCCCTATTTGTAACTTGTGATTTGTGCTAATAATATTGAAGTATTGTTTTAGAAAAAAAAAAAGGGGTTTGCAGAAACATTTCAAACAATTAGAGATTAATGTGGAGAGAGGTAAGAGAAAATTATTGAGCTCAATTTGCAAAGAGGAAATAAATCTCGATTTTTGTTTGAAACACTATGAACCTTAGATTATGTACATGCAACCAACCAAAAATAAATACATAAAACAGAGAGAGAAAACAGTTAATAGATTCATAACTTTCATCATGCATGTGAAATTAGTTGGTAAAGTAAGGGTGTTAATTATTGCATGAAGTATTTCCATTGTAAATATAAGCTGCTAGATGCTTGTTACTGCCTATGAAGCTCTAAAATTTTTATATTTAGTTTTAGCTCTCTGGTACCATTATTCTTGTGTAGCAAATAACAGATGTATCAACATTTTTTTTCCTTGAAAGTTGGTGTTCTTGACTCATTGAAACTTGTATAATGGTCTTCTTTGCATGATTGTTTCCTTTCCATTGATTAAAGCTACGGTCTACGCAACATCGGCTAGGAGTTTACCCACACCTCCAGCATTTGCAATGATCAACCCAGTATCCGAGACCAATTTCTATGCCCCGTACCAACAACAAATGCCAATTGATGAATATCCTCAGGGACTTGGTCAGCCTGACTGCTGTTACTTCCTGAAAACTGGAGACTATAAATACAAACGTAATTGTAGATTTAACCATCCTAAGCTTCAAAGTTCCAAGTCAACGTCATGTGCTCTTAGCAACAAGGCTTTGCCTCTGAGACCTGTAAGTCATAGAACAAGCAAAATAATGATACAACTTACAAATTCTCCCTTAATAATGTGATGTCTAAAATATATTCTTTTAAATTAAGCATAAACAAGAGGATTTATTGCTCACTTCCTGTAATAATGTCCGCACTTGATTTTTTTTAAGACTGATGTTCCTCCAACATTATCTGGAGGGTTGTTTTAACTTCCTTGCAAGGATGTCTCTTGAAATGGATTATGTTTAGAATAGATGTGTTTCCATCTGTTTATATGAATATGTTATTATTAAGGTACATCCTATAGTGGTTTTTTTCCTCACAAAAAAAAAACATGTTATGTCTTTGTGTTTCTTTTCCTAAAAATTTTTCTAAACTTCTCAATCACTATACGAAATGCAAGTCATGGTTTTCTTTTCTTTTTTATCTCTCTTTTATAAAGATTTAGCTGACTTTTTCAATATTTTTTTTAGTATATTATGTTGGACTTGGAGAGATGGCTGTGTTTTTCATTTTCTTTCTTCAAGTTGAAGATGAAGAAGAGTGAAGACGAAATGATTGTGATTTTAATGGATGTTCCAACATTATTTTATTCACGAAGTGATTATTAACTTAATAATTTTTTTTATAGTTTCCTTTTTTTTCCCTCTTCTAAAACTCGTTTCTTGTTTTAATGGCAGTTATGTGATCGAAGAAGAATGAACAACAACTATTGGTAGGTTTTTCCTTTTAGTTATTTCATGTCTTTGCTTCCATGCAAAATGTTTGTTAAACTCCTAGCTCACAAAGGGCATTCCTTATGGTTCCCTGGGTTTTTAAGAACTAAAGAAGTAAGCATTTTTCATGTTTGTTTCTTTCTTTTGTCTCTTTTATCTTATGCTTAAATTATTTTTTTTTCCAAACATCTGGTCAAGTGGAAAAAATGGAACAAGGCTTTCTTTTATGTGTATGTGCGGTTAAAAAGTAAATGATTATTTTGAGCAAGATAATGAACAAATGATAAATTGTGAGATTGGCATTTAATGGATGGGAAGATGTCTTGCTGGATTTATCTAATGTCAGAGTGTTCCAATCCTTTCTATCAAAAAAAAAAAAAACTATTACCTCTTCTTTCTATGCAAAAACAATTTTTCCCTCTTTGCTGGTGAGTAAAATACAAATTCCTATATCTGCAACAAAAAGGTTGGGCTCAATGTTGAGAAAACTAATTGATTCCCATTTAAAAATTTTTCCGAGCTCAATCCTTTCCTACTCGAGGCTTCTGTCTCAAAAAATCCTTTTGTTCTTATCTTTCTTTCTCTCTCTAAAAACCGCTAGATTCTCCATTCCTGTTTAATGTATATTTTTTTCTCTTGATTAAATTTCAACTGTAATTTTCTACTACCTTTACCCCAATTCCATAGGCATTTCATAGGTAATTTTCTTTTATTTTTTTTGGATTTGGATCAACATTGTTTGATTAAAGCCTGGAATGTTATGCTTGCTTTGCTAAGCATGCTATCTACAGAACTTATTCAATGCTTGGTTTAAAACCTTAGGCTGTTAACAATTGAAGTAGTTAATTTCAAATCATGTGAAGTGTGTGAAGTATTTCCCAATTAACCATGATTAACAAACTAATACTGACTGTGACAATCAGGGAATAGTGTACTTGATGAATCTACTTTGAAACCGGTGTTCTTAATAATATTGAGATTAGCAAAACTTTATAACCAACATTGGACTAATTTTGAGATTTTACAAAAAAAAGGATAAAATGGACAGCAACTCATAGAAACTTATTTATTATTTGCCTTCGTATATATTTAGAGTTTTGCATTCCATTTCAGGGGTTTTTAATGGTCACATGTACTTGTGTTTCCTTTCTATGGGAATAGAACATATATCAAAAGTTTGATTAAACAAGTTGTTGCAAAAGACTCAACAATCCATGTAAACCCTGTGAATATTGAATAGGAGCAATGTTGAAACATAATTGAAGACCAATTCTTTAGATGAATATTGCCTTTACTGTTTTTCTTTACACTTGTGAATATTGCCTTCACTATTTTTCTTTACACTTGAAAATTTTATAGATTCTTGATGCTGGAGTAACATGAACTTTATTGGAAATAAAAGCTGAATTACATGACCTTATTTAGAGTTGCATGTATTTTGGCTTTTGCGTTGGAGTATGTCATTAGAATATAAAGACATCCTCTGGAGAAGTTTCTGCTTCATTTTTACGTTTTAGGATCTTCCTAACCTATTTGATTGCATGATCATTTTATTTCCTTTTTCACCTTATCTTCCGTTGGCATTTTGTGTAAATTGCGCAGCTTCATGATCAAGTTGTAGAAAGTTTACTTGCATACCATCTCCAGGGATCTAGCACATCTAATACTTTCACTTTGGTAAGAAACTCAGGTTACCAAGCAAGACACTTTAGCTTACCTGTAAGAATCTTTTCATTTCTGGACTTTGACAACTACTGTACCCAAAACAAAGTACCCAAAAAAAAAAGTTTCTTGCTTGTGAAATGGGTTGATAAATAGAAGGGGTAACAAATTTTGTATGAGACTATTACTAACCAAAAGTGCAGATGTTTGTTGAATTTGTCCTCTCATTATTGGCATCATTTAAGTCTCTTGATTTATTTTGAACTTGGTTTTACAGCAGTAAACTAATTTTAATGGATTGTATCTTACATTCTTTCTTTTTATAATACATGGCAGGTTCTCAGTGGTTTCTTTCAAAAGTTGCTCATTCACTTCTGGGGCGAGTACAAATGACAGAAAGTTGTTATTTTTGGTTAAGTTAAAATATGTATTTATCAGAGTCATGGAAGTTCAAGTTCATGTTTTGAGATTCTACAATACTAATTTTAGTGTTTTATCTATTTATTATGAATTCCTTGACTGTGAACAAGTGTCAAAGTTTACACTGTTAGACAAATTGTAAATGCAACTTTTTATAGTTTAAAATCTTTTACAATTGCAATAATATGTTTTTCCATAGAAAATTTAACTTTAGAGGGCAATAATTGGGTAAGATTAAAATTTCACACCGTGTATTTTTTTGATCCTTCGTTGCGTTACAGGCATTTTGTAAAGATGGCATAACTGGGCACGTTAATTTTAGAACTGTCCACCGCGCAAGTGCGCGGTGATCCCCTCCTAGTATAGATAAAGAGGGAACCGCCCCCTGCCACGTTGGATGGTCGTCCGCCGATGTGGCAACTGGAGATTGGCTGGAGGTGATATGGCACTTGGTTGTCCTCCTCCTTGTATTTGTTTGAGGGCTTTTCTTCTTCTTTCCCTCGATAAACCAAACGACGTTTTCTATTCCTTCTTCTTTTTTTCTGTCTTTCAAAACGTCGGCGTGGCCGTCCTCGGGTTGGCTGCTGATGACATGGTTGGAACGACAGATGGGGTGGGCTCGAGATACCTACTCCCATCAAGTGTCTCCCATTTCCCATCAAGTGTTTCTCTCTCATCACTGCTTTCTCCTCTCATACCCAAACCACCGGACCACTACGGCTACTGTACCCCTTGTTGATGATCTTCTCATCTCCGTTATTCTCTGTTTCTCGGTAAAAAAAATTATCTGGACGTTTGTTTCTTTCTTTTTTTCCAAGTACTTATCGATCTGTTCCAAAACTTTTTTTCAGATCACTACGGCTGCTGTACTCTTCGTCCGTGATCTTCTCCTCTCCGTTATTCTCTATTTCTCAGTAAAAAATTATCCGGACACTCAGCTTTTATTCCTCTCTTTTTTTCCAAGTACTTGCCGATCTATTCCAATTTTTTTTTTCATATGCTTTCTGTCTGGATGGACTATGACTGTCAACAAAATAACATTATCAAGTTTTGTTGGGCTGGTTTTAAGTAATCATCTTTTTTTTTCCAGGTACATTGCAGATCTGTTCAAAATTTTCTTATTTTTCCAGCACTTTCTATCATCAACTTTTTTTTCTTTCTTTTTATTAGACCTGATATAACTAAAATCATCTATTTCTGTTTTATCTATGCTATTCTCCATATTGTTGTTAGTTCTTACAGTGAGCAATTTTTACAGTTTTTGAATGGCATGATTTTTCTCTTCTTGTGGAATATTTAGATTGATATTATGCTTAATGTTAAATTTGCTTATTTTTAATACATGTGTTTTTCTTTTTAAGAAAATTTTGGTGCTTTTGTTGTGCTAAGTTCTCCTTCACTAAGTAAGTTTGCTAATTTTTTTATGTATGTATTCTTATCTTTTTAATTCCTTGAGCTCTGTTTTAGTTAGATAGATGATCGTAGAACTTGTAAACTGCTTTTAGAAGTACTTTATACATGTTTCTGAATAAATGGGTCTATTCATAAGCAGTTTTCTCTTAATTTTTCCTTGGATTTGAATATTTATTCATGTTTCCTTTTGTTTCTTGTTAGGTTTTTACAAAGATGGATGGTGATTTTTTTTTGGAAAAGGGTGTAACTTTCTGGCTGGAGTATTACGGCAGATGAAAGTTGTAAATAGGCTAATTTATTTTGTTCTCAGTTAGGCTATGATGATATGGTTTTGGCTTCATTAGATGTATTTCAGGCTTTAAATTGATTGCCGCATCTTGGCGAGGCAACCCTGATTGCATTTAAGGTTCATTCTTCCCTTCAAATGTAATGGGTCTGCAGCCATGGCGGTACTCTCATCTCTGCCTGACTTTTGCTGACAAACCTGAGCCTTACTTTAAACTACCATAATTACTGCTTACTTTAATTAAAAAGATTTGATCACTGATTCCTTTTTTTCGTTTGTATAATAATTTTCGAATCATGACAATTTCTGATGTTCTTATTGGTTATTTTTTCACCTTTGAAGTAATATTTACAGAGTTATACCAAAAATTCTCAGGTGTGCTACTTTGGTTTATAGTTATAACTCATTCATCATATGATGTCTTACTTGTGACAAAGCGTTAGCTTTTTTTTTCCTTTGCTTTATATTATCTTGATCATGCTAGAGAAATTGCTTGATACTTTGGTACAATTCACATAGTGACCCTAATGAGCTTTTATCAGTGTGCTTTAAATTTTTGAAAATTTTGTGGTCAAGTGTCGAAACTATATGAAGTTTAGAATGAAATGTCTAACTAAATATCTAAGTATTTGGGAGGTCTTGTAAGCCTCTATGTCTTAATAGAGAAGTAATTATGATATTTGATGGTTTTTTTTTATAAAAAAATAGTAATACTTTTTTTCTTCAGTATAAAAAAGTCTGGTTAGTCAGGAAAATCTTTAAGAAATTTTGTGGACAAATGTAGAAACTATATGAAATTTAGAATGAAATGTCTAACTAAATATCTAAGTATTTGGGAAGTCTTGCAAGCCTCTATGTCTTAATAGAGAAGTAATTATGATATTTGATGGTTTTTTTTATAAAAAAATAGTAATACTTTTTTTCTTCAGTATTAAAAAAGTCTGGTTAGTCAGGAAAATCTATTGGGCACCTTTTTTTTTTCCTATTTCACAGCCCAAAAGCATGGAAAAAAAAATCTTGCATTGCTCACTTAGTGTTATTTGGGTAGAAATTCATTCTCCTCCTTTTTTTTCCTCTCTTTATGGTAATTAGAAGATAACATGTTCATAATGATGGCTTTTCGTAATGTTAAATTACATGTTTTGTAGGTGTTTAGTCGTCACGAGAAATTAACTGAGCCTTTTTTTAAGTATCTATATTTGGTTTCTTTTTTTTTTTTTTTGTCCCCTGGTTTCTGAAGAATTAGAAAAATGAAGCATTTTTCTGATTTTTTTTTTCCTTTTGTAATCTTTGTTTTTTTGGAGAAATAGGGATGGGCGTTGCTGGAGTTATGTCACTTTCAAAGTACTACATTTGATAATTTATTTTTGAAGATAGAGCTTTGTAAATCTCGAGTAGTGAATAGTGCAGTACAATTGGCACTGCTATCAAAGAGATTTGAACATCTACAAATGGAAAAAGTAAAATTGACCTTGGATCTATTTGACTTTTGTGCGTATGCAATTACAGTAAGCATTTAAACACTATAATGTCAGAGATTTCAAAGCAAAATTCAGGGTTACATAATGTGCTACACCATATACTCGTGAGGTGTAGTGGGAAATGATTAGTGCTACAGATTGTGCAACTATAGTATCTCATCCTGCTCATACCATTAATGCTAGATTGGTTACATAAAAAATTTCTTATGCTTTTGATGGCTTTCTGCAGTATGGAATAGGGATTAGTCCTTATTTGTGTTGCAAGTGCGTTGCTATCACATTTTTACTTCTATGCTAATTTAGTAAGCTGTAGCCAAAAAAAGAAGTTCTGTTGTTGGTTATCCTTCTTTCTGGTAAACAGAATGTCATTAATACCATTGCGTTACTATCTTTGTGTTGACACCATGTCTATTTTTTCTTGAGCAAGCGTACTTGTAACCTTAAGTCTGCTGAAGGTGTTCAAATGAAGTCTGTGCAACACAAGGATCAAGAATACGCAATAGAAGGTCTTGTCTTTAAATTTTGCTGTAGATTCAGGCTCTGGGATGTTCTGATCACCCTCCATAAGGTTCCAGAACAACTTTAAATTAGAATGAACAGTTCTCCCCGTTCCTTTTATCATAACTGGTTTAAATTGATTGGACCAGTTACAAACCTCCTCTGATCACCCTCCAAAGGTTCCTAAACAACTTTAAGTTGTGTACCTCCGACTAGGAAATGGATCACATCACTATAGTTTTCCCTTTTTCTTTTTGGTTAGTAGTCAAAATCTCTTATGCCTCTGCATCCATATAGGAAATGGTTTTTGTTTCGTTCTTTTAATCTTATTTTTACTCGACTAATTTGTTTGGTTTAATTCTTTTTTAACTTGATTGAGCTGAATAATTGTGAAGCTTAAAGAGTCAGTGATGGCAATTCTCTAGAAGCACTGAGGTTCATGAACTTTACTTGAGATATGTTCAAAGTGAACACCATAACGTAACATGCTCGAATTAAAAGTTATCGACAGTTTATTTTGTTGCATGCCTAATTAACAAATTATGGACTTGACTTTTAACATCTGGGATAGATAATATTGTCAAAACCCACAGTGAAAGCACACTTTTTTGTCTTCACATTTTTTGCTAAATAGTTGAAAGTGAAAGAATCTTTGTTATGTAGTTCACCTTTTATCTAGATTTTCTGATTTGAGTATCTAATTGTTTTGCTATGATTTAACACGTATTTAATCTTCTTTTTTCTCCCCCAAAAAAACCTCATTGGAATGTACAAAGGTGAAACCTGATACAACTTATGGTGCATCAATTAAATTTTATATTATAGGTTTAACAGTGACTTTTAGTCAAGCAAAGGCTATCAGTTTAATTAAGATATTTGGAGTAATAGCTGAGTTCCTTGCCATGTGAATAACGAAATTTCAATGACTTGTTTGATGGTTCGAGTTTTAAATCTAGGTGTTTCTCCCCAAATTCAATGATGATATCCACATATTTCTCAGCTTTTAGCTTCCACTACTTGAAATTTTCTGTACTTTTTCCTTTTTTAATTTAGTTATGTGAATAATGTACTTTTTTGGTTTTGCATATGAAAATATTGAGTTTTCATGAGAACCATCTCCAAGTTGTGGAAATTGCGTAGCTATATGATCAAGTTGTGTAAATTGATTTTAATATCTTCCATTGGCATTTTGTGTAAATTGCATAGTTGCATGATCAAATTGTGGAAAAGTTTACTTTACCGTCTCCAGGGATCTGGCACATTTAATACTTTAACTTTGGTGAGAACACGAGTTACCAATCAATCTACTTTAGATTACCTGTAAGAATCTTTTCATCTCTCGACTTTGGCAACTATTGTATCCAAAAAAAAAAAAGAAAAATGAAAAGTTCCTTGTTTGGGTAATGTGTTGAAAAATACAAGGGGTAACAAATTTTGCATTAGACTGTTAGCAACCAAAAGTGCAGATGTTTGTTGAATCTATCATGTCCTTGTTGGCATCATTCAAGTCCCTTGATTTGTTTTTAACTTGTGTTACAGTAATAAACTAATTTCAATGGATTATATCTTTCTTTTTTGTTATATTACTTGGCAGATTTTTCACCAGTCTCTTTCGAATGCGACTTATTACAGTTCTTGGATGAGTATGAATGGCAAAAAATTTTTGTTTTTGGTTGAGTTAAAATATCTATTTATTGGAATCATCAAGCTCATGTTTCGAGATTTGACAAGACTAATTTTTCTATTTATTATGAATTCCTTTACTATGAGCAAATGTCAAAATCTACATTGTTAGACAAATTGTAAATGCAACTTTTTATGGTTTAAAATCTTTTACAGTTGCAACAATATTTTTTCCCTTTTGTTTGTTAGTTTATAATATTTCTTCATTTTTCTTGAAACATATATGATTGATATTACTCGATATCTCACACGTACTTTGCATGGAAAGATGCATATGTTGTATATTAGACCTTCTAGATTTGGATCCATCTGATATGAAGCTTATGAGATAATATATTCATACTCTATGGATAAGACTTTTTTATACTGACCCACTCGAAGTTATGAACTCGTGTCCTTCCAATCCTTGGATCTAGATGAAGAATCAAGTTGATTTGCGGAACTTTTGATCCCTCTAAATCACGACGTTATGAACTAACAATGTTTCTTAACCCATAAATTTAATAATTTAGCGAACCAAAATTGAACCAAAATTGTTTGTAAAGGAACGCCACAACTATGGTATATACTTGATGATAGGTTTGATTTGAATCTTTTCAAGAAAACCCTTTTAGTATTTAAGAAAGGCTCTTTTGGACAAGAAAAAGATGATAAAACTCAAGTTTATTGTTGGAAAAATTTAATTATTAACGATAGAAAAATTAGGTTATTTATAGCCTTATATGACTTGAGAATCAATGTGATTTGTGATCACTTATTTGGCTAAGAAACCAACTAAGATTAGGCCTTTTTTGAAGACTAATTTGGCTGAATATTACTAAATAATTAAACCATTAAAATAGCAATTAGATTGACAATTAAAATCCTAACTAATGCTGCTAATCAAATGACATTAGCTAACTAACAAAACAACTATTTAAGTAATTTGCTTCTAACTCTTCATGTGCGACCAGGAAAGTGACACATGAACGCTCATCAAGTTGAAATCCTTCAATAGTCCTCGTGTCGTCACCAATTCGATCTTGAATTGCATAAACAAGTGCTTGTAGTGAATCTCTAAGTTTTCTTGCACGAGTTCTTGTAATCAGACCACTTGGAACTTGTACAACTTGATCACTTGAAACTTGATCAGCCTTGAACCCTTTGAACCTTTCATCACTCTTATTATCAACAATGTGAACTTAAACATTCTCAACATTCACAACTGGGATTATAATCATTCTACTTTGCTATTAGATGATGGTTATACTTTGATTTTTTTTTGTCCTATATGCATTATGAACAATTTGCTATGTATTTCTACAATCTATATCTATTATGCATATTGTTGTTTTTTAATGATGTGTCTTTTCATTTCTTGATCATTAGTTACGTTTCAGGCATTATATAAATAGGGCATAACTGGGCATGTAAGTTTAAAAATTGTTCACCGCGCACTTGCACGGTGATCCCATCGGTTTGTTGATTAAACTATGAACAGAAAAAAGAAAAAAGAAAACAGTATTTATATCTTTGGAACCAGTCAGCATCTATATACAATAGGGTCTACTAATTCTTAACAAATTTTTGTAAAACTCTGCCGTTGAAATTCTTAACAAATTTTTGTAGAACTCTGCCGTTGAATTGCTAGTATTGAGACGAGAGAGAGAGAGAGAGAGAGAGAGAGAGAGAGAGAGAGGTGCCATTTTTCAAACTTGATGTTGTAATCACTAAAAAGAAAACAAAATTAAAAAGATTTATTCGTGGAAATCTGGACAAAGAGCTTGTGAGTCACACAACTGCAGTCGTGTAGATGTCCACTTCATTTTCCCGAAAAAAAAAAACAAAATTAATCCCCAATCCTTCCAAAATTCATTAAAACTCTTACTACATGACAGTATGATTGATGATAAATTTACTTCATTTTTTCTTTTTTTTTCTGACCTAAAATCATGTAAGAATTAAATATTAAAAAAAAGGTCATCCTCACAAATAAAATAAGCATGCCAATTCAATAGTAGTACAACTACTAGGTAGACGCCAAACAAAAAGGTTTCCCTGACAGCGGCGTTTCCTAGAACCGTCCTATCTCTGCTTCACTCGGGCGCTCTCCGCCTGCTATTTTATTCAAGAAAATACTACACACACACTCACGCATCCTCTGTTGAGCGGCAAAAATGGCGGATGCTGCAGCCAGAGCTTCCGACGACCAACCCAATGATAACCCAATTTTGAGTTTCTTGTCGAACTTTGTTAAACTCTTGAATTTGCCCCCCCTGCCTTTTCTTCCACCGGCTCCTGCTTCCAAAACCAAGCAACCGGAGGAACCCGCTAACGGAGCTGGCCCGGTTGCTGTCGCAGATTCTGCTGCGGAGACTAAGCCCTCTGTCGTCAAGTTTGGCCGGCCCTCCGAGACCACCTTGCCTTCTGTAAAGCTCGAAGCCGTCGAGGTTGAAGAACGCAATACTAACCCCGTCGTCCTTTGGCAGGTACCCTAATTCACTAAACCTAAACCCAAAAAACTGTAAAATTTTTTACTTCTGCTCTTCGCTTAGTTTCCACGGTCTTTCGCTTTGCCTTTTCATTTTTGTATTTTTTTTTTGGTTGAGATAATGCCATTTATGTGGAAGCAGTTCATTTTTGTGCTGTAAAATTGAGAGTTCCTTTTTCTTTTGATTGATCGAATTTCTTGATTTTAAGAACATCTTTTGCCTTATTCTGATTGAATGAACTGGAATTTAAATGGCTTGACTCGAGAAAACTCTGATTGGTTCATCATCACTTAGTATGTAGCTATGAATTTGTGTGTTTAGATTCACTATCCTGGATATTCTATCTGGTGATTTAAGCAGAGAATGTTAGTTTAAAATGCAGTAACTTGATATGTAAAAGTTTTTATAACTTTCGTAATTAGTGATCTGGTCAATTCTGCCGATGAAGTTAATTGTTGGGATTTTGATGTTGTTCTTTGTTCCTGAGAATATGCAACAAGTTAGGTCTGGCATTTCCTTTTCTCTTTATCTACTTTCTGTGAAGATATCTCCATGGTTTGGACTCAGATGAAGGTTTTGCGGGAACGTTCTGTATGTATTTATCTGTTACACGTCGTCAGAAACAATTTCTGGAAAGATATGTAGAAAAAAAGGAGGATGGAAAGGAAAAGATAAGGAAATTCAACTTGTCTGAAAGGAGAATGTCACGGCCTATTGGCTGGTAGTATGAGGTGCGATGTTTTTCACGCATTATCTTGTTCGATATTTAAAGAGAAGCACTTTAAACATATATTTTGTAAGGTAGTAAAGGCGTCATAAGTCAAGATTTTTTGCAGCATAGCTGAATTTATTCCTGCTTATATACTGTTGAAGTTAATTTTTCTTGAAAACCACAGAGGGCAATGCAATGTTGTGCCCTTTGCCCTTATCCCCTGCTTTCCCAAAGTGTTCAAGTATCTTAGATTGGTTTTTGCTATGTACGTAACAGTGAGGAAATTTTGAAGGCTGGTGTTTAGGGAGCCTGAATGCCTAACTTTAGGACAATGTTATGTTTCAGTATGTTATTATCTATCAATTTAATTTTATTCTTAAGTTCCAAGGCTGCCTCTAATAAGCAACAGCATGAAATCAGTCAACTCTTTAATTGCATAATGAGTACCTTCTTGGAGGGGAAATGGAGAGAAGAAAAAAGGAAATGAATAAGATAGTATGCTCGTGAATTGCATGTACTAAAAGGGTAAGAGTTCTTCTGCTGTCACTTTTTCCTCCTTTGATGTCATTTAATCATACTTAATTATCTTTGCCAAATTCAGGTCTATGCAATTGGTGGTTTGTTGGTTTTGAGGTGGGCATGGACGAGATGGAATGAGCGTAAAGAAAGAAAGAAGCCATCTGATGAAGATCGTCCTCCAGCTGTTGAATAGTGTTCCCAGCACTGCGTAGAAAGGAAAAGAAACATGGAAAACCTTCTTGTGCATGTTTACAGTCTGTAATCTGTTGAGTTTGCAGCGTAAAACAAAAAACCTTGGGTTAATGGATTAAGATATGCTGTATTGTTATCTCGCCTTGCCCTGCGCAACCTATTCATTTGCTGATACCTGTTTTATTCTGATGCCTCGTATTAACTTGTAAGCTCCATTCTGCATAAGATTTTTTAGTTCAAAATGTAGGGTTAGAGATGACTCGTGACTTGTGATTGATTGCTTTGCATCCTCTAAAGGAGATCAGCATTCGATATCCCAGGCCAAGGTTAAATGAGAGTAGTGACAAGCCAAGATGCGTAAAATACCACCATGCAACTTAATCTTCTAATCAATGTTCATCCCACCGTTATATCCCAAAAATTGCATTGTTGAAAGGACATTTCACTACTTAGGTGATCTTTTAGTTATATTTGCATGGGGAATAAATTGAAGGGTTCAGTTCACCTCATATATTGAATGGTCAAGACAAGAAATTACTTTTTGACTTGGTACAGCACTGAAGCATCATTTCTTCTCCCACTTAATACAGTGCAATGTCTTGCCTAACGGCGACTCTTTGGCGACGGTGCTCGCTATCAATATGGGGAGTAGCTAAATCATTTGTGTCCATGCTAGGTACTATTTGTATTACAATTTCTTCCAACTAAATGCTTTGTAAGAAATGTTAAAAAGGATTCAATCAGGTCAAAAGTTTTATTCCTGGCTTTAAATCTTTTAAGTTGCCAAAATCTTCGTAACAGGAGGATACATACTGATGAGAGTTGATTAGACGCTCAAATAGGATGATGCAGCAAACTAAATTTGTTTTTCCAAAAAAATAAGTGATGGACACCAAGAAGGAAAGGCCCTCAAGCTGCTAAAAGATATATAGACTAATGATAGGTGGGGAGCAGAGCAACATTAGAATTGTATGTAAGAACATGGGTTGGAGATGGAGTTGCAGCTTGAAGCAACTTAGAAGCTTTTATGACTTAAGAAACTCCGGTAATGTAGAAAAGCTAGGCAACTAAGTATATGACGGTGAATTATGTAGAGGTCAATTGCCATGCATGTTCCTCCTCCTACATTGCGTTTACGCTCTCTGAATCTGAAGGTTCAGTCATCGGTAGTGTGTGGTCTGGTTAAGCACGTATTAGATGTTTCGACTTAAGGAAACGAGAAGATACCAAACTTTTGAACTCTTGCATGGCTGCAAACAACGCGTGAGTAACAAAACGCGGAGCCACAAGAGGAGGTTTCAAAGTCATGATCTCTCCAATAACATCAACAACCCGCCTTTAGAAGAAGGTACTAACCTTCGCATTTTATGCCATTTTAAAGAAGATTTTCAGCTGAAACTTCTCAAAGCATAGCATGTTTTAGGTCACAAGTACCAGAAACACATTTCCTATATTGCATTGAGATAATATTGACTTGTATGGCCCAGAAACCTCATGTACTTATTTTCCCCTTTCCTGTACAGGGTCATATCAATTGTATGCTGAAGCTTGCGGAGCTTCTGTGCTGCAGAGGCCTCCATGTTACCTTCCTTAACTCACATCACATCCATGAACGTCTTCTTTGCTGCACTGACATTCATTACCATTTCAGCCAATATCCTACCTTCCATTTTGAAACCATCTCTGATGGGCTTCCGGCAGACCACCCTCGGACCGGCGATCGTGTTGTGGAGCTCTTTCATGCCGTAAATGCCACAACAAAACCTCAGTTTAGAGACATACTTACAGGTCTCCAATTCCATAGCCCTAACGGGAGACCTGCATTGACATGCATAATTGCAGACGGGATCATGTCTTTCACTGTTGACGTTGCCAAAGAACTCCATATTCCCACCATATTATTCCGAACTGTTAGTGCTAGCTGCTTCTGGGCTTTTCTGTGCGTTCCAAAGCTCCTTGAAGCTGGCGAACTTCCATTTAATGGTAATAGTCCAAACAATATTTGAGAAGATCCATTGTCTCGGCATGCAGCACACACTAATGCACAATTCTTCTTTAGATCACTGTATTGATCTCCTGCATAATTATTCCCGCAGGTGAAAATGATATGGATAAATTGCTTTCCAGTGTGCCGGGACTGGAACGCTTCAGGATGCGTGATCTTCCAAGTTTCTGTCGCACGAGTAATCTAGCTGACCCTGGTTTCCAAGTGGTCATATCTGAAACTCTGCAAAACCTTAAAGCAGATGGACTCTTACTCAACACATTCGAAGACCTAGAAGAGTCCGCATTATCACATATACGCACTCACATTCCAAAACTATACACCGTAGGACCACTTCATGCACATCTAAAAGCCAGAGAAGCTTCCAGTCCCGCGCTGCAGCAACCATCTTCAAGCAGCCTTTGGAAAGAAGATAGAAGCTGCATGGCATGGCTTGATAGGAAACCCCTAAACTCTGTGATCTATGTAAGTTTCGGAAGCATGACAGTGCTGACAAGAAATCAGCTTTTCGAGTTTTGGCATGGACTGGTGAACAGTGGGAAACCTTTTTTGTGGGTTATAAGGCCAAAATCTGTGAACGCAGATGGAGATATTCCGGCAGAGCTTCTGGAGGGCACGAGGAAAAGAGGATACATGGTGGGATGGGCACCACAACAGGAAGTCCTGGCACATCCAGCTGTAGGTGGATTTTTGACTCACAGCGGCTGGAATTCTACATTGGAAAGTATATGCGAAGGGGTGCCTATGATCTGCTGGCCTTTCTATGCTGACCAACAGGTGAATAGTAGGCTTGTTGGGGAGGTTTGGAAGGTGGGTTTGGACATGAAGGATACTTGTGAAAGAGCAACCGTTGAGAAGATGATAAAGGATCTGATGGATGTGAAAAGAGACGAGTTCATATTATGTGCTAAAGAGAAGGCGAAATTGGCAAGAAAATCTGTGGAACAAGCAGGCTCATCCCACTGCAATTTGGATCGGCTGATTGATGATATAAATATGATGAACTTTGCCAAATGAGTTGTAGTGTTTTAGCTCTGCAAGGTCAATGCTGGTCTTGTACCCAGAATGTCTTCATTCATTTTTACTAGGCTATGTAACTTTACGATTCCCTTCTTTTTTTTTTTTTGGCACAACGAATTCTTATAGCTTCAGTGATTACTGTGAAAAGCTGAAAAGTACTTGTATCAACATGGAAGTTTGGCTTACCATGACCCATAAATGACAAAGATGCAGAGCCTTATTTACTAATTGAAGTATGAAAGCCTAAAAGGATTAGATTTGTAAGAGGTTACAATGACCAAACTGTTCCTCCCCCGGACTATGACCAGAAATGGAATAGGACCATGGCGGATGTCTCATAATATCTCTTATGCTTTATGATGAGTTTCAGCCTTGAGACTTCAAGAATACAAAAGTACACCCATCAGCCATCTTCTATGGTAGCGAGTTCCCATGCAAAATTTTCTTTAGCACCCATGAATACCATCTTTTATGTGAAATCAGAGCACCAACAACTACTCGACTAGTGCTGTTGTGCATCATCGTTCCCAATTCCCTCCAGCACCGTTGTACAACAGTCAAAAAAGTTTTCAAGATTGGCCGAGCTGTTATGTTGGCCGGAATATTGATCCTTCTAGCCTCTAGGTACAAAATCCAACTCAAAATTCAATAAAATCCTCAATGCACCTCTGCACGAGTCAATCTCCTGATGCAGCACGTACGATGTACTACCAACAGATGAAGAATGCATACAAGGTCCCTTTCCTCGATCTACCCCAGGACTTCTTCTGCAAATAGGACTCTCCAAAGACAAATTACAACATTGTCTGGCATTCTGCAGAAGAATATAGTGCCATCACCTGAGCCTGACTAGACTAGAAGTAACCTCAACTTTTTATCAACTATACAGCAAGGATGAGACTTCACTTTAGAAGTCAAGGGAAAACTACCACTACATGACTCCTACAACACATAGAGAACAAAAACTACTCATTCAAAAATTAATTTATTGAAACGCTGTGAGATATGAGTATACAATTAACACAAAACCTGAATAAAATCTAAGTATCTGTATCACAAGCTTAGATTGCTTGAGAGAAGAATGGAAATTTGATCGATGTACATGTAAGCCTGAAGCAAGTACAGAAATCTGTACCCGCGTCCACTAGCCAGTTTCTATGTCAATGAGGAGCTCTTAATGTACATCCTCAGATTAGCTTCGATAAACAAAAACCCAACTATATATATTAACCTGTACAAGCAATCCCCGGGCCCATCTCCAATATTAGGACCACTATAACCTTCACTGGCTTATTTGTTATTCACTTGTGTCTCATGTAAAAACTCCAACAAAACTTTTATCTAATTAATCTACACTAAAGTTCCTTCTTTACAAGAGATCCTCAATTTGATAGCAAGACAGAAGCATGTCCCTAAAGTCCCCGTACCTCATGTTTAGTTTAAAATGTCGACTGTCTACTCTGGCTGGAAATACCTATCATATATAGACAGCCGATCAAACGCATCAAAATTTGCTTTTAATCCAACAAATTGACTCCCAAATTGAGCACAGGCAGCATCAGGCCATCTGCAACCTCCCTCCCTAGTATGTAACGGACATAAAGATTCACAAAATCGGTTAATTGGATTATTGGAAACATCATCTGCCAAAACGGTGACTGAAACAGAGAGCTCTGATTTCTCATTACTGACACCAGTACCAGCTGATTCCTCCTTAGAAGAAAAGTACACAGATTTTTGAGGAATTTCAGTTGGATTACTTTCAATGCCAACAGTGCAGTCACCATCTCCCGAGAAGTGCACTTTACACCCCAGTGATTGTAGTGCACGCTTTATTGCTGCACTCTCCCTGCTGGCCCGGCTGGCCAACTCCTTTGCTGATGTACTGATGACCTTCTCATTCTGCAACTCAGCAGCCAAGGACTCCATAGTAGCAGTGGTTTCTTTAACTCTTGCATCAGTCTCTTCTTTTGCCTGTTAATAATTGCAAAAATCTTACAACTTCTAATCATAAAGTTGACTCCATATAAAACCAATTATAGGGAGAAGAGTTCACTCTATATTATTTTTCTAAAACTAATCACAAAAGGGGAAAAAATGGATATCTAGAATAAGCCTATGTACCAAAGCTAGAGCAAGGGATGAAAAGAATTTACTCTCACCTTCTGCAATTCAGTAAACCTTTTACTCATGTTCCGACATTGTGCTTCAAGCTCT